CTCCACACTCTCCACGGTCTCAGCACTGCCCTCCACGCTCACCACTGTCTCCTCACTGCCCTCCACGCTCACCATGGTCTCAGCACTGCCCTCCATGCTCACCACAGTCTCAGCACTACCCACCCACTCTCCACCACGGTCTCAGCACTGCCCTCCACGCTCACCACGGTCTCCTCACTGCCCTCCACACTCACCACTGTCTCAGCACTGCCCTCCACGCTCACCACGGTCTCATCACTACCCACCCACTCTCCACCACGGTCTCAGCACTGCCCTCCACGCTCACCACGGTCTCCGCACTGCCCTCCATGCTCACCACGGTCTCCGCACTGCCCTCCATGCTCACCACGGTCTCCTCACTGCCCTCCATGCTCACCAAGCCTCAGTCACCCTACTCTTCCTTCCATATTTCAGACATGCCAAGGTCATTCCCACCTTAGGGCCTTTCCACTGGCTGTTTTCCTTCAAGTGTCATCACTGTTTCACCTTCAAACACATTGGTAGAACCTTTGATTTTGTGGGTTTGACATGGATTCACTTTTCTCCTCATTCTCACCCAACTGTAGCCTGGAAGAGTCTGACACCTTCATGGGAACTGAAGCCCAGAGACAAATGGGACTTAATCAAAGCCACTCAGATTTTTGGGGACGGAGGCAGAATTGTCCAAGGATGAATTCAGAGGTTGTGACTTAGATTCATGGGAAAATAAATCTAATCTTTATAGCATTTGGACCTGCTATATTTAACAATGACACAGTCATAATAATGGAACACTGCTTCCCTCCCTTTCCCTCTCTCCAACTTTTTTTTGTCATCTGAGTTTGCTGAGTCCAAGTACAAGGTTGTGCGTGGGCGGGCATACAGGATTTCACTTCCAATTGTGCTATTCTATTCTTCTTTGTAACAAAATACTCTTTTTTGAGGCCAGAAGAAGGTGAATTTTAATTTATGGATTTCTCTCTTGAAATTACAATTAGAACCTAATTTTTAAAATCAAATTGGTTTCATCTAATTAAATTTGGAAATTGCCTCATAAACACATGCACTGTTAAAAATGTCTTTAAAAGCAAAGTCCCCTGCTTACTCTCTGGGACTGAATTAGGTTGGGCCCTGCATGGAGGGGACTCCCTGTCTCTCTTCCTAGGAGGACATACTATCCTATCAATCGGGAAAACTTTCCAAAGAGTACTATTTTCTAGAATGGAACTTCAGGCTTTAATACACAGGGAGCTTGTTAAACTGAAGATTTGGATTTGGGAGGTCTAGATGGGACCTGAGATGCTGCATCTCTAACCAGCCCCCTGGAGACACTGGGGCTGCTGGGCCATGAACTACACTGGGTTACAGCAAGGGGCAGGACATCTGTGTCTGAAGGGGACATGGGTTTGTCACCTTGGCTGTATGACTTTGGTCTTCTCATTTCACCCTCTGCCCTTCCATTTTCTCATTTTCACGTAAGGATAACAGCTAACATTTATACTGTTATTTCTAAATGCCATACTGTATAAAGCACGAATTTCATCTGATCTTCCCAGCAGCCCAATAAGGCAATTTTATTATTCTCTTGATTTCTCAGATGAGAAACTTGAGGTTCTAAGAGGTTACTTGATGTATGCAAGGTCACAAGGTAAGTAAGTAGCAGAGCTGGGATTCAGATCTAGGCTGTCTGATCTCCAAAGTCAACATTCTTAGGCCTCCCTAGCTTTTGACACACATGATTGCAGTCAAGTTCATGCTCAAAATACAATGACTCAAGCCTATAACCTCCTTGGCTCCTTTCAGGGTATTCCTTACTAATGTTGACATATTCCCAAAAGGTAGCCTCAAATGTATACAAACAAGTGAGCCAGCTGCAATGTTCTGGCCCTGGTTCCCTGTGATCATAGCCCAAGAAGCAGCACAGAAGTGACTTGGAGGTACCTCAATGTAGTTGTCATTAGCAGAGTCCATCACAGAATGCCAATATCATTCATATCTAGTTTTTTTTTAATTCACAAGGCATCAGGTTCACACAGAAGTTAAGAGTCTGCTGTGCCCACCTCTGTGCCTGGAGCTGCAGAGAATGTACCACCTAATGATGCCTCAATGTCGGGAGTTATTGCTCACACAGGGCGTCTAACTCACAACTGCACCTTTGTTTCTCTTCTGCCTACTTCTTTCTTCTTGTCATGAAAGAGCAACCACGAGCTTGCTAGTCCAGGCCAATGCCCAGACCTACAAGAGGAAAAAGTATGTTCCTTCCATGGAAGCAATCTGTGCAGACATATGACTCCATCTGCACATGGCCCAGACCCAGGGTTTTCAGGTGCATGGAAGGGAACAGAACCAGGGCCTTTTCATGACAAAATCATCATCAATCAAAGGCAAAATAAGAATATATATAAAAAAAAAAAAAACAACGTGATTGCCACCAGTTAGTCATAAAGCTAACTTGATTCCCTATGAAGGGGTGCCTTTTATTTTGAAATTGTGCTTTCTATATTTTTAGAATTCTGTCTTTTATAAAATTATGTTGATTAAAGATGGTAAATTACCCTATGTGAATACCCTAAACCTTTTGAAATGTTAGTGGCCTGTGAATTCCAAAAGTCTTGAACATCTGGCTGAGACAGCCTTTTACATAACAGGAGGAATTTAACGCCTGAAATGGTGGGTTCTTTTCCTCTGCTTCACAAAGAATGGACTGTCACACACAACAGATCTCTATTTCATTTATGTGTGTGTATGTGTGTTTGTATCTCTGCTTCCCAAAGCAGATAGCTCTGACATGACTAGACGCTGGTGCAGTGAAATTTCCAGGTCCTCTCTTCCCAGACTAGACACTGAACGCATGCTAGGCAAGGTGTCTCCATATGAGGCACTTCCCCTAGGAAGGAAGCTTCTCTCAAGCATGTAGCTGGAGAAGGTCCATACATGTTGGGGGTTGCTGTCAGTCCCCTCCCCCCACATACTGATCCTGGGAGCTGCACCAAGTTCCTGGGGATTTCTATAGTGGAGACATTAGACAGCTCTTAGAAATGCAGGATTTAGTGAGTCAGGGATTTCCCAAACACCTGGCATATGTTGAATAATAATCTCCCTCAGAGAGCTCTGGACACCTTCTACTGTATTTCCCTAAAAATAAGACCTACCCCCAAAATAAGCCCTAGCAGGATTTCTATGCATTTGTTAAATACAAGCCCTACCCCATAATAAGACCTAGTGATGGGTATGGCTATGCAGCATATCTGCCATGCCATGCATTTCGAGTAAGACATCCCCTGAAAATAAGCCCTAGTATGTCTTCTTGAGAAAAAAATAAATATAAGACAGTGTCTTCTTCTTGGGGAAACACGGTAAATCTTTCTAGAGAGTCTTATCAGATTATTCCTATTTCTCCCCCATCAAATCCTCATGGACTTCCCCCTCTAGAGCTCACCCTCTCTAATAGTACAATGTTGTCAAGCCCCATCTCTAGGTCAATGCTTCTCAACCAGAGTGCTGCAGCACACCAGTGTGCTATGACAGGATCTTAGGTGTGTTGTGAAAATTCTCAATAATCATTAAATTGTTTTTGAAAGAATCTTAAAGCTCAGTGAGTACGTTTTTTTCTCACCTTTTTTTGGATCAACATAATTTAAGTGTGCTGCGGAAGTTTCACTCTAGGTTCAAGTGTGTCTGGGCCGTGAGATAACAAATGTTGACAAACACCACTTGGGGGTGTGTTTCTGCACGTGCCCTCAGTGGCTCAAGCCCTTCCACAGACCCATGTTTCAGTCCGAGGATGTTGGTGGCTTTACCCCCCCCACCCCAGACTTCCCAGGGCAACCCTCAGGCAGCGATTCACACCATCATTTTATAGATGAGGAAAGTGACGCATAGAGAGAGGAGAAGCCTGCCAAAGGGCACTCGAGATTTTGGTAGTGCTGTTAGGACATTAGGCTATGTCATTCCAGCTGCAGCATCCGTGCCCTCCCCTCTGCATTGCTGTGCTTTCCTCTTTCATCCCGTATTGCAATCTTACGTTGTCTAAGGATACAAGGGGCCCAAGGAGGGTCAACCTTTACCTACATCCCAAGACCTGGGTGTTAGCTTTATTAACTTGGGTGATGTTTTGCTTTGTTTTGTTTTGCAATGAACTTTTATACGGTTTGTTTTGGTTTTACAAGTTTTCAGGAAGCCATATTGTATTGGCATGATGGGTACATTCCCAACTGAGTAAACTCTGTCCCATTTCTGGTAAGTTCCCACTATTAATGCTTGGAGAGAGGCTCTGGACACTATTACCTGGGTGACCAAATATATCTTGGGCAGAGAGCAATTTAAATCTTAAGAACCCCGGAGGCAGAGGGTAGTCCCTGGGGTTCTTTTTAAAGCCCAGGGGCTGATACAGGTGGGCTGGGCATCTTGCGAGTATCAGTTTCCAGATGACCAGATGAGTGTGAACCACTGTTTGCCAGGCCTGGGTCTTTTCTTCCATATCTGGATAATCTGGCCCCATGAGTTCTGATTCCTTTGTGGAAGAGATTAGTTGTCACCAAAATACTTCTATGGATGGTGTGTCCAAATTTCTCTATCTCTGGGGCTATGAAGACAGCTCAATTGTGTTCCCTTGTGTTTTCGTCCCATCATACCACCAGGAGCCTCTTGGTAAGTTGTGTCTCACTCACCTTTGTGTCCTCAGGGGAGTGGGTATTCGGCAACTTCAGGCTGAAGTGACTTGAACAAAGCTAAGCCAATGGACACAGCACAAAGGGCCTCCTTACCTCATAGAGCGTGATGACCCCATTGGTCTCGTTGGGGGGCTTCCACTGGATGTAGATCTTCTCCTCAAAGGGCCCCCCTTGGATGGACTCTAGAGGAACAGCTCCTGGAACTGCAGAAAGGACAAGTTATGAATTGGAGGCCACTTTCCACGTCATGTCTCCCACCCACTGACCTAGGACAGGGTTGGCAAAGTTTCTACCAAGGATTTGACAGTAAATATTTTAGGTCCAATGTGCCATCCAGTCTCTGTCACAACTGCGCAGCTCTTCCACTGTAGCACACAAATGGCCAGAGATCATCCCTAAATGAATGGGCACTCTCGTGTTCCCCTAATGTTTCCTTTCTAAAAATAGGCAATGGACTGAATTTGACCATGGGGCACTTTGCTGACTACTTTTCAGAAGGCAGATGAGACTTTTTACCCGCAGACTGAGCAGGTCTGTTCATGAATTGAACTTGATTCAAGCAGAAAGGACATCACCAGTTCTGCTAGCAAGTGAGAATCTGGAACGAGGCCTTGGCTTCAGGATTTATATGCAAGGAAAGAAAAATGAGTCTCTCCGTCATTTGACCAACTATCATTTTCCTAACCCTGCCAAGTTTTCTCCAACTTTAGGATGTGTTTCCTCGGTTTCCTGACTTAATCCCCGAATCCAGCTATGGGTCTTGAAATCTCAACCCAATTAGAAGAAGCTTGCCTTGCTCCAAGAAGGCAGCTACCTTGTCTTACTGCTGAGTTCCCAATTCCTGGCATGGGGTAGACACTTAATAACTATTTGCTGGCTGGATGAATAAACGAGTGAATGACCTATGCCAGCATTTTGCCCTAATGAGCACAACCTTTCCTGGGGCTGCTTCTGTAAGCAGGTCAGTCCTCCTGCCAGAATCCTCCTGCTCGACTTCACCATCCTCACAGCCTTCTGAAAGATGCTGAACCAGAAAATAAAAATGATGCCCTCAACTTTCAGTTATAACCCCCTAGGGAATCATGAATTCCTATAAATTATTATGGGATCTATTTATATTTTGGCTTTATAAAAGCAGGTACTTTTACTAAGCACTTCCTCTTTGATGGGAATTTTACATTCATTATTGCACTATGGCCACAAAATAGTCCTGCCCAGCACACAATGTCTCCTTTGTGCCAATAAGGGAACCAAGGCCGAGAGAATTATATAACATGCTCAAGGTCATGTGGCTCTTAAGTTGTAAAGGGAAAACTAAACACCTGCCTATGAGCTTTAAACCATACGCCCTTAATCATCATGTTATACCTCTCTACCTATAGCCTTGGCCATCTGTTGCAATCAGTTCCCCATTGTTAAATTAAAACATACTTAGTTTTGCTCATTATGGGCATGACGTATAGAATCGGTTGACTATTAAGACTATACCAAAAGGTAAACAAAAGAAAAGAACAGAATCACTCACAATCCCCATATTCAAAGATATTTTTTCCAGTATTTTGATGCACATAAAATGTGTACCCATTTTATTTTTTAAATATAAAATATGCCTATGCATATAAATATTTCTTATTTGTAAAAAGAACACCTCCTAGCATGCATATTGTGCTGTGACTTTCTTCTATCACTAAGGAATCATAGAATTCAACAAAAAAAAGTCCTTAGGTGTTCTTCAGGGCCGTGCATTTTAGTGGCTGCTTAGAGGAGTAGGTGCCTTTTTAGGGCCACAAATCCTTTATTATTGGGCATTATTGTTGTTTAAATTCTTCTTGATTATGAGCAATGCTGGAGTGAGCTTACTTATAAATAAGTATCAGCATACTTATAAGAAAGTATTTGCATGCAACTCTGCTGATGTCCCTAAGATAAATGTTTGGAAATTAAATTAGTGGGCCAAGATAAATATTTTCTTTAAAGGGTTTTGATACATATTACCAAATTATTTTCCAGAAAGTTTGGACTGTGCAACAGAAGAATATGTCTAGTCTCTCTCCTTGCCAACACTGACTATTTAAAAATTAAGTGTGCGTGGGTATCTTTTTTAGAATATTAGAGAATATAAATTTTGTTTCCAGTGTTATTAGCCATTTTCACTGATCCTTTTATGAACAAGCTCCCTATACCCCTTATTTCCCCGTATGGGTCTTCCTTTTTGCTTATTTTTGTCTTATGGGCTTACAATTATAATCTCTTTTTAAGGACATAATCTTTCTTGCATAGGTTGCAAACATTTTTGCCAGTTTGTCATTGGCTTTTTAAATCTGTTAGCTCTGAAGAAGATTTTCATTAGTCAGATCTCATTGTTCTCTCTGATCCACTCTTCTTTTCCACAAATATTTATTGTGTATTTCCTATAATCAAGGGAGTAGGACACTAGGGGATACATCAGTAACAAGAAAAGATGTAGTCAAATCCTTGTTAAAGCTTGTATTCTGGAAAGGGAGACAGACATTAAATAATTACACCCACAATTAATTCATTACACTTGTTGCCGGGACTCTTGAGGAATGGGGATGCCTGTATTAGGAGAATTAGAACAAGCAGAGAAGAACTAGCCCAGCAAGCTACAATATGAAGCAGCACATGGGTTAGAATTGGTGGATAAGTAGAAGTTACTGGGATGCAAAAGGGAGGAGGTATTGAAGGGTTGTGGATAGCTTTGTAAGGTAAATGGTGAAAAGAGAATATCACTTAGGAGACTGCCGTGACCATCCTGGAGAGAAAGCATGGCAGCTTGGCCCAGGGGGATGGCAGTGTAGAAAAGAAATGGATGGTGAAGGAGGTTTGGGGATGCCAAACTAACTAGACTTAGTGGTAATGGATAAACATGAGGAGGAAGGGCGGTGTCGTGGAGAACCTCAGCTTTTCTGTTTTAAACGACTGTGAGATCAGAGTGTTGTTTGTAGCAAGGGAGCTTTAAAGGATAGCCAGTTTGGGAGAGGAAGCTGGGGATGTCAGGTTTTGTCATATTTCATGTTTGAAGTGTAAGGAGGACTTCCAAGTGGTAATGTTGAGTAGCAGGTGGATATAGGAAGACTGGGGACAGTGTTTGGAAATTGAAACTATGAGGAGAAAATTGATAGCAAGAATAGATAGTAGAGAAACACACACACACACACACACACACACACACACACACACACAGTCTAGGACGAAGCCAAGAGGAAGTTCATTCCTAACAATTAGGAGGAAAACAAATGGAGAAATCAGGAGGCAGTATTCAGAGAGGTAACTGGAAACCTGGGAAGATAAGCTGTCATTGCAACATCTTAGGAAGGAAATAGTCTCAAGAAGAGACTGGTCAGTGATAACGGACTGGCTGAGTAAGCGAGTGAGGTGTGGCTTTGAATTTGCCCATTGAGTAATCTAGCATCCTCAAGGTCGCTTGTGATCCAAGCAAAAATAATTTAAGGGAACATGTTGGTTCACAAGCCATCCTGAAGAGAGTTGGGAACAAAGTGGGAGGTGATGTCAGTCAAGTAAGCAACTAAATACTTTTTGTTGTAAAGAAAAGGAGAATGACAAAAGGCAGGGGTGAGATAATGGAGCCAAATCAGTGCCCTCCTCTCGCCAAAGAGAAGAGAGGCTCTGGCATGATTAAAGGCACCAGGAGAATTCCAAACTAGATGTCGGGAGGCAGAAGGGTGAGAAAGAGATAGGAGATAAATGACACTGGTAGGGTTTTGAAAAGGCCAGTGTGGGTTAAATGAAGGTACTTTTCTCTCTGTAAGAGAAGAGAGGAGAAAGAAAGCATGAGTCGAGTTATTCTAATAGCATTCTTTTCTTGAGAAGTGGGGGTGAAGCCATCTACCAAAAGTGTAGTGGAGGACAAGTTGCATCAATACTTTGAGAAGATTGTACTAATTTGCAGTCCTACCAACAATGAATAAATGTTCCTTTTTTTCTGCATCCACACCAGAACCTGCTGGTTTTTGTTTTTTTAATAAAAGCTCTTCTAATTGGGGTAATACTTTTTGTTGTAAAGAAGAGGAGAATGTGAAAAGGCAGGTGATATCTCATTGATATCTCATTGTGGTTTTAATTTGTGCTTCCCTGATGATTACTGGTGTTGAACATTTTTTTCATATTTTTAGTGGCCATTTGTGTATCTTCTTTTGAAAAGCTTCTCTTCGTGTCTTTTTTTAAAGGGATTGTTTACTCTTTTCTTGCTGATTTGCTTGAGCTCTTTCCAGATTCTGGTTATCAGCCCGTTGTCAGATGTATAGTTTGGAAATATTTTCTCCCATTCTCTGTAGCTGTATATTTGCCCTGTTGATTATTCCTTAGCTGTGCAGAAGCTTTTTAATTCAATCAAGCCCCACTTACTTTTCTTGTTGCTGTGCTTGCCATTTGGGTCTTAGTCATAAATTCTTTATCTATGCCTATATAGAGAGGAGCTTGGCTACATTTTCTTCCAAAATTTTTAAGGTTTTATGACTTACTCCTCAAAGAACTAAAAGCAGACCCACCATTTAATCTAGCAATCCCCCTACTGGGTACTTACCCAAAGGAAAAGAAGTCATTTTGCCATAAAGATGCCTGTAATTGAATGTTTATTGCAACACAATTCACAACTGCAAAGATGTGGAATCAACACCAAGTGCCCATCAATTCATGAATGGATTAACAAAGTGTGGTGTATGTCTACCATGGACTACTACTCAGCCATAAAAAGGATGAATTAATGCCTTTTGCAACACTATGGATGGAACTGGAGACCATTCTCCTAAGTGAAGTATCTCAAAAATGGAAAAACAAACACCAAATGTGCTTGCTATTAAGTTGGAACTAACTGATGAGCACATATGTTGACAGAGGGAACTAAAATTCAGTGAAAATCAAGCATGGGGGAAGGGGAGGGGCGTGGAGAGCAGGGAGTGAAAACCTGCCTAACAGGGACAATGAACACTCAGTGATGGGCACATTTGTAACCCTAATCCTGACTCAAGCATTACAGAAGTTATCCATGTAACCGAAACCATTTACACCCCTATGATATATTGAAATAATAGAGAAAGAAAAGATACTTGGACTCCCATGTCTATTGGAGCAATATTCACAATAGCCAAGATATGGAATCAACCTAACTTTCCATCAATGAATGAATGGATAAAGAAATTATGATAGATATACACGAAGGAAT